GCACGCCGTCGTCGTCGGCCGCGGGGCCCTGAATAGTAGCCACGGTCGTCCGCATGCCACGAAGTGAAGTGTCCGAACGTCATAGGGCGGGAAGCTGGGTGTGGGTGGTGGCGAAGAGTCGTTTGGAAATTTGGTAGAGCTTGAACCGGCCCCCCCACAAAGTGGGGGTATTGCCCGCCTCCTATGAAAACCCTGGCACTGGTGAGAACGGAGTGTCCCCACGTGCTAGTAATTGTTGTTGTTGTTGAAACATTATTATTCTAAAGAATAATTATTGTTGGGCCCCCTGGTGCACGGCCCCCCTGCGCCGCCTAGGCCGCAGCTACATTTTCATCATTTTCGTGAGGAAGCCTCAGGTAAACGATGTGATCAAGATCCGGTTGTTTTGTTGTAATCCGTTTTCCCTTGCAAAAAACACTATAAAATGACATTTCTTGTTCTAATATAATCAAATTTCAAGAATCCCTTGCAAAAAATAAGGTAAAGTGGACATTCGCGCGCGCAAGACGAAATCCTTCCAAAAGCTTAGTGTTCGAACGATTTTAACATAAAAACATCAAAAAACCAATGGTTTTTCAACAAAAAAATGTCAAAATCTCATCCCGCGCGCTCTTGCGGATTCGTAGGAAACCCAACACTTTTTAAACATTTCTGTCAAACGGGCTTTTGCGAGCAACTTTTTCGAACTTCTGCGACAACGGTTGCGCACCTGCCAGGGCCATCATCCCTGTCAAATAATACCATGCGGGACACATTCGTTTTTTCTTCGCGCGCGCACGCCGAAATCTCCAAAAACCATTGGGCTTCTTAAGAATTTTAGCACCGCGCATCATAAAATCACACGAATCGCACCGTAGGTCCTCGAAAAACACCTGCACGACTTTTCAAAATTTCTACCCGCGCGCGCTGTCCTAACAACTTCTGTGGGTGTGTACTCCACGCCAGTGTAGTAGCCACGGTCGTCCGCAGGCCACGAAGTGAAGTGTCCGAACGTCATAGGGCGGGAAGCTGGGTGTGGGTGGTGGCGAAGAGTCGTGTGGATATTTGGTAGAGCTTGCACTGCCCCCCCACAAAGTGGGGGTATTGGCTGGCGTCGCATGAAAACCCTGGCACTGGTGAGAACACTGAGCGTTCGGGTAAAATGATTGTTGTTGTTGTTGTTGTTGTTGTTGTTGTTGTTGTTGTTTTTTTTCGAATGTCTCACTGGTTTGGCTTCTCTTCCTCCTCACCTTGCTCCTCCTCCTCCTCACCCTACTGCTCCTCTTCCTCTACTCCTGCTCCTCCTCCTCCTCCTCCTCCTCCTTTCCTTCCTCTCTGTAGGAGGAGAGGAAGAACAAGGAGGATAATGACGAGGAGGAGGAGGAGGAGGGTGAGGAAGAGGACGACGAGGAGGAGGATGAGTATGCAGGAGGAGGATGAGGGAGGAGGGGGTTGGCCTCTCCTCCTCCTCCTCCTCCTCCATCACCACCTCTTCCTCCTCCTCCTCCTCCTCCTCCTCCTCCTGCTCCTCCTGCTCCTCCTGCTCCTCCTCCTGCTCCTCCTCCTGCTTCTCTTCCTCCTTCTCCTTCTCCTCCTCCTCTCCTTCGTCTCATCCCAGCCCAACAGCACAAAGGTCAAACAAAGCCGAAGTGAAATTCTGCATGCACTGCAATGCACTTCGAGGCAGGACGCAGCAATACAATGCAACGCAATTCACGGTGGATATGTGAAAATGCCAAATTTGGTTTCCGGGACGCATGTGGGCGGTCCCACTGGGGGCGTCGGTGGAGCTCCTAATGGGGCCACCAAGCGCTATATTGGGTATGTGAAAATGCCAAATTGGGTGTGCGGGACGCATGCGGACAGTCCCACTGGGGGCTTCGGTGGAGCTTCCTGTGGGGCCACGAAACGTTGTACTGGTGGGTGAAACTGCCAAATTGGGTGTGTGGGACGCATGTGGGAGGGCCCACTGGGGGCTTCGGTGGAGCTCCATCTGGGGGCCACGAAGTGCTGTACTGGGTGGGTGAAACTGTCAAATTGCGTGTGCAGGGCGCATGCGGGCGGTCCCACTGGGGGCTTCGGTGAGCTCCCTATGGGGCCACGAAGCGCTGCACTGGGTGGGTGAAAATGCCAAATCGGGTTTGCGGGACGCACGCGGACGGTCCTACTGGCCACGAAACGCCGCACTGGGTGTGGCGGACGCATGTGGTACCCTCCCCCCCTGGGGCCTTCGGTGGAGCTCCCTATGGGGCCACGAAGCGCCGCACTTGGTGTGGCGGACGCATGTGGTACGCCCCCGCTGGGGCCTTCGGTGGAGCTCCCTATGGGGCCACGAAGCGCCGTACTGGGTGTGGCGGACGCATGTGGTATCCCCCCTGTGGAGCCTCTGTGGCCTTCGGTGGAGCTCCCTATGGGGCCACGAAGCGCTGTACTGGGTGTGGCGGACGCATGTGGTACCCCCCCTCTGGGGCCTTCGGTGGAGCTCGCTATGGGGGCCACGAAGCGCTGCACTGGGTGTGGCGGACGCATGTGGTACCCCCCGCTGGGGGAGCTCCCTATGGGGCCACGAAGCGCCGTACTGGGTGTGGCGGGCGCATGTGGTTCCCCCTTCCCTGGGGCCTTAGGTTGAGCTCCCTATGGAGCCACGAAGCGCCTGGGTGTGGCGGACGCATGTGGTCCCCCCCCCCTGGGGCCTTAGGTGGAGCTCCTTATGGGGCCACGAAGCGCCGCACTGGGTGTGGCGGACGCATGTGGTACCCCCCTTTAGGGGCCTTAGGTGGAGCTCCCTATGGGGCCACGAAGCGCCGCACAGGGTGTGGCGGACGCATGTGGTACCCCACCCTGGGTTGGGTGGGTGAAACGCATGGAGGAAGGAGGAGGGGGAGGAGGGAAGAGGAAGAGGAGGAGGAGGAGGAGTGAGTGAGTGAGTGAGTGAGTGAGTGAGTGAGTGAGTGAGTGAGTGAGTGAGTGAGTGAGTGAGTGAAAGAGTGGGACGCGGCGCTGTCGCTTCAAAACGAGGATCCAACACCACAGGATGGTTGGAAATTTCGACAACGGGTTATTCACAATCCGTGAAACTCGTGCAACTGTTCAGAAAGAACCGCGGCGCTTAGGCGAAAACCATATTTTCCCTACCTTGGCTCTGCCTAGAAGGGTTCTTACTCTCTATCTTAAAGGGGCCGGGCAGTGGGAACCAGCCCGGGCGGTTCCCCCGGTATCCGCCCCGCGGTTCCCCCAGTTGCGCCCCCCTGGGTTCACCCAGCTAAGCTAAGCTAAAATAAGCTTAGCTTAGCTTAACTTAGCTTAGCTTAGCTTAGCTGAGCTTATATCATCTCAGCTTAGCTTAGCTTACCTTTGCCTAGCCTAGCCTAGCCTAGCTTAGCTTAGCATAGCTTAGCTTAGCTTAGCTTATATCACCTTAGCTTAGCATAGCTTAGCTTAGCTTGGCTTAGCTTAGCTTAGCTTAGCCTAGCCTAGCTGATCTTAGCTTATCTTAGCTTAGCATAGCTTAGCTTACCTTAGCTTAGCGCAGCGCAACATAGCGCAGCGCAGCATTAGCACATCATCTGATAACAAAACATAGCCAATCATATCATATCATAGCATAGCATAGCTCAGCATAGCATAGCATGGCATAGCATAGCATATCATAGCATAGCGCAGCATATCATATCATATCATAGCATAGCATTGCTTACCATAGCACGGCGCAGCATAGCATAGCACAGCATATCATAGCATAGCATATCATAGCATAGCGCAGCATATCATAACATGCCATATACTAGCATAGCATAGCATAGCGCAGCATAGCATATCATAGCATAGCCTAGCATAGCATAACATAGCGCAGCATATCATAGCATACCAACTCATATCGCAGCATCGCATACCATATCATAGCATAGTATAATATAGCGCAGCATAGCATAGTATAGCCTAGCATGACACAGCGCATCCGAGCGTACCCTAGCATAGCATATCATAGCATAGCGCAGCATAGCGCAGCATACCAACGTATAGCATAGCACATTATAGCTCAGACGTGTAGATGTAAATGTAGATATAGGTGTAGGTGTAGCTGTGGATATAGATGTATATGTATATGTAGGTGTAGATGTAGGTGCATATGTATATGCATATCGGAGTCTCGCTGCTGATCTTGATGTAGATGTATATGCAGGTGTAGATGTAAATCTAGCTGTCGGTGTATACGTAGATGTGGCTTTCCTAACTGCTCCAACTCCTAGGTAGGGTCGCACTGGGCTAATTGAAAACTACCCGCCCTCCCTCCATCTGTGAAGAGGAGGAGGAGGAGACGGAGGATGAGGATGAGGATGAGGATGATGATGATGATGATGATGATGATGATGATGATGATGATGATGATGTTGATGATGATGATGATGATGATGATGATGATGATG